AAGAATGAAGGACCATGGGCTAATCAGAATAATCAATACCAAAGTAATCGAAATAATAATTTTAATAATCAAAGAAACTTTGGTAATAATTGGAGAAATGATGGCCCAAATAATAATAGGAATAATAGTGGAGGTAATTGGAGAAATCAAGGAAGTAATTCTCAGACTTATGTTCCACCACATGCTAGATCTAATGAGAATAATTCTTCCTTAGAAAAAATGTTAGGGGATTTGACTAAAACTATATCTGATTTAAAGAATGAACTGCCTAGCATTAAAACTGAATTGAGATCTGAATTTCAAAGAGAATTACATGATGTTAAGCAGTACATGAGTCAGTTAGGGAACACTCTCACCCACCGCTCACCAGGAAATTTACCTAGTACAACTGAATCAAATCCACGTGAGCATGTTCAAGCTGTAACTTTAAGAAGTGGAAGGAAGTTAGTTGAAGGTGAGAAAGTTTTAGTCAATCCTACACCACCAGCACCCACTCCACTTAATATAGATATTAATAAGGAGATCGAGGAGGATGGTAATAAAAAGGACGAGGCCGAACCTGATAATCTAGGTGATTTACCTATCCCTAAAGCTAAACTTCCTTTTCCTACTAGGTTAAAAAGGGTAGATGATCACCTAACTTATACTAAGTTTTTAGATATGCTAAAACAACTTCACATTAATTTGCCTCTAATGGATGCTTTAGCAGAAATGCCTAAGTATGCCAAATTCCTTAAGGAGTTGTTAGCAAATAAAAAGCCTCGATTTGATCCTGTAGTTGCCAATTTGAGTGCTGAATGTTCGGCAGTTCTCACAAAGAATTTGCCAAAGAAACAAAAAGACCCAGGCAGTTTTACCATTCCTTGTTCCATAGATAGTGTTGCTTTTAATAATGCCTTAGCTGATTTAGGAGCGAGCATTAATTTGATGCCATCTTTTGTTGCTCAAAAGCTAGGCATAAAAGAACTCTTGCCTGCTAGGATGTGTATTCATCTTGCTGATAGTTCTGTTACTTATCCTTTAGGGATTGTAGAGGATGTATTAGTGCAGGTAGGTAAATTTATTTTTCCTGTTGATTTTGTCGTTTTGGACATGGAGGATAAGGGAACTCCACTTATCTTAGGACGGCCTTTCTTAGCTACCGGTAAGGCTTTAATTGATGTGAGAGATGGTTCGCTAACTCTGAGAGTTGGAGATGATGTTTGCACTTTTCGACTCCCAGAGATAGCAAACCAAGAACATGCTTCTTGCAATCTTGTAAATGCTATTGATGCTTTAGATGACTTCTGGTTTGGCACCTTTTCTGTTGAAGATGGCCCACGTGAGGAAGGTATTATAAGCATGGCCAATTCAGCAGAAGAGAAATATGTTGAGTTGATGGAGTTGTGTGATAAGGCTTTACAGGAAGAAGAGAATGCAGAGCAAGTTTTGGGTGTTCAGGCTGAAGAGGATGAAGAAGAAGAAGAGAATGAACCTGAGCCTACTCCTGAACTAAAACCCTTACCCTCCCACTTAGAGTATGCATTCTTAGATGAAGAAGAGAAGTGCCCAGTCATTATTGCATCCGACCTAACCGAGGAGCAGAAGGGTAAGCTAATTGATTTGCTTAAGCTTTATGGGCATGTTATCGCTCGAAAGCTTGAGGACCTTAAGGGAATTAGTCCCACCTTCTGCACCCATAAGATTTTTATTGAAGAAGGGAAGAGACCAATGGCGCAACAACCACGAAGGTTAAATCCCAATCTTAGGAAGGTCGTAAAGAAAGAGATCATGAAGCTCTTAGATGCAGGTATTATTTATGCCATCTCTGATAGTGACTGGGTAAGTCCGATCCATGTGGTACCTAAAAAGGGAGGGATGACTGTCACTGCTAATGATAAGGGAGAGCTAATCCCTAACAGGGTGGTGACCGGGTGGCGTATGGTGGTTGACTATCGAAAATTAAATGATGCCACCCGAAAAGATCATTTCCCTCTTCCCTTTTTAGACCAGTTAGTGGAGAACTTAGCTGGGCATGGGTATTATTGTTTTCTCGACGGAATGAGTGGGTATTTTCAAATACTCGTTGACCCGGCCGACCAAGAAAAGACCACTTTTACTTGTCCAATAGGAACATTTGCCTACCGGCGAATGTCGTTTGGTCTCTGCAATGCCCCAGCTACGTTCATGAGGTGCATGTTAGCCATATTTGAGAAGTTTATTGGAAAGTTTATGGAAGTATTCATGGATGATTTTTCCATTTATGGAGAAACCTTCGATGAATGCCTCCATAATCTTGAGAAAGTTTTGAAAAGATGTGAAGAAACAAATTTAGCCCTAAGCTGGGAGAAGTGTCATTTTATGGTAAAGGAGGGAATTGTCCTTGGCCATAAAGTGTCAAAAAGGGGAATTGAAGTAGATCGGGCTAAGGTTGAGGCAATTGAGAAATTACCTTATCCGTCTTCTGTTAAGGATATTCGTAGTTTTTTGGGGCATGCAGGATTCTACAGAAGATTTATAAGGGATTTCTCTAAAATTGCCAAACCCTTAACCCGATTGCTAGAAAAAGAGGCTGAATTTGTTTTCTCCACCGAGTGTAAAGTTGCTTTTGATACTTTAAAGAAGAAGTTAGTAGAAGCACCGGTCCTTACCGCCCCAGATTGGGCGGCACCTTTTGAGATAATGTGTGATGCTAGTGACTTAGTAATTGGGGCCATTCTAGGACAACGAAAGGATAACCACTTCAGGCCCATTTACTATGCTAGCAAAACTTTGGCAGGACCACAGCTTAATTATACTACTACTGAAAAAGAATTTCTTGCTATTGTCTTTGCTTTAGAGAAGTTTAGGTCTTACATCTTGCTTTCTAAAATTATTATCTATACTGACCATTCAGCGATTAGATATTTATTGAAGAAACAAGATTCTAAATCTAGACTTCTGCGTTGGGTTTTATTACTGCAAGAGTTTGATTATGAAATTGTAGATAAGCAGGGTTCTACTAATCAGGCAGCCGACCATCTTTCTAGGTTGGATGCGGGATTAGTAGACCAGTTTAGTAATAATGAGATTGAAGAATTGTTTCCTGAAGAGAGACTTTTATCCATAACTCAGACCCCGTGGTATGCTGACATTGCTAACTATCTTGTTGGGAAAGTTATACCAATTGATTTTTCTTATCACATGAAGAAAAAGTTTCTCTCAGAAGTTAAGCACTACTTTTGGGATGATCCTTATCTATTTCGAATATGTTCTGATGAAGTAGTGCGTCGTTGTGTCAATGAGTCTGAAGCACTCGATATCCTATCGCATTGCCACTCCGGGCCCACTGGAGGTCATTTCTCTGGTAATCGGACTGCCCGTCGAGTGTTAGACTGTGGATTTTATTGGCCTACAATTTTTAAAGATGCTCACAATTTTGTCAAGTCTTGTGATCAGTGTCAGAGAGTTGGGAATATTTCTAAGAGAGATGAGATGCCCCAACAATATATATTGCCATGTGAGGTTTTTGATGTTTGGGGCATTGATTTCATGGGTCCATTCCCAAGCTCTCGAGGGAATAAGTATATTCTTGTAGCAATTGATTATGTGTCGAAATGGGTTGAGGCTCAAGCCTGCCCTGCTAATGACACAAGGACTGTAGTTAGGTTTCTCAAGAAGTTATTTACTAGATTCGGTGTTCCGAAGATTTTGATTAGTGATAGAGGAACCCATTTCCGAAGCGACCCAATGGCTAAGCTGTTAATAAAATATGGGGTCCAACATAGATGTGGAGTAGCATATCATCCCCAGACCCAAGGGCAAGTTGAGAATACTAATAGGGATCTTAAAGCTATTCTAGAAAAGACTGTAGCACATTCTAGGAAGGATTGGTCTGATAAGCTAGATGATGCGTTATGGGCTTTTCAGACTGCTTATAAGACTCCAATAGGAACTACTCCCTTTCACTTAGTCTTTGGGAAGTCTTGCCATTTGCCAGTCCAAATTGAGCATAGAGCGCTCTGGGCCCTAACGAATGTGTGTCTCGATCCTTCAACTACTGGGAAGGAGCGTTTCTACCAATTAAATGAGTTAGACGAATGGCGGACTTTAGCTTTTAGGAACAATGCTTATCTTAAGGAGCGTACGAAGATTTATCACGATAAGTTTATTAAAGCAAATCATGAATTTAATGTAGGAGATAAGGTGTTGTTGTATAATTCTAGGCTTAAACTTTTCCCAGGAAAGCTTAAGTCTAGATGGACAGGTCCTTTCACGGTCACTCAGGTTTTTCCTTATGGTACTGTTGAGATTGATGATCCTCATCGAGGACGAATCAAGGTTAATGGTCATCAGTTGAAAATTTACCGTGGAGGAACTTTTCAAAGGGATACGGAAGTGTTTCACTTCCGAGAACTTGGATGATCATGCTAATTTCGTCGAGCTAGCGACATTAAATCTAGCGCTAAACGGGAGGCAACCCGTCAATGCTTTACTATTCACATTACTGTTTACTTTTTTCCTTCACTTTATTTGTATTGCTTGTTTTTTTTGTGTTTTGGTTACAGATGGCCGAAGAAGATTATGAGGAGGAGGCTCTCAATGTCACGCTGCCAGCTGCATTCGAGATGCACTTGCCATCAGGAGAGCCCCATAAGCGTTTTCGCACATGGGGAAGGAAGAGAACTCTTCTAGGGCCACTCTCTCTTGATCAGGTGACCCTAGAGGAGTGGAGCCACTGGGAGGAGATTGATGGCCTACTTGCAGACTCTCGTTGGCGCTACTTACTCACCTTTGCAGAACAGTCTAGTTTGGAGCTGACGATCGAGTTTCTTTGCACCTACCAGTGTCTGCATGGTGGCCGGCCTATTAAGGATGCAGCTGATGTCAGACCCGATTCCACCTTGAAGTTCTCACTTAGTGGTCGAGCCTTCACCCTTTCCATAGCCGAGTTCGGGCGTCATTTGGGGATATACACTGAGGAGGAGGCACGCTCCCTTGTCTTTGCTGCTCTTCCGTATTCCTTACCTTCAGAGTTCAGCCTTGAGCAGTTCTGGCGACAGCACTCCCTGTCGACGACACCGTTCAACAAGAACACAGCGCATACTTGTCAGTGGAGGAGCAGCGCCTGGAGGATACTCAGTTTTGTGCTTTCACATGGTCTTTTTGGTCGTCCGACTAACTCAAATCGGATTGGCATGAAGGACATATACTTCTTTTGGAGTGTGGCAGAAAGGGTTCAGGTGAACTTGGCTATCTTCATGGCTCAGTTCTTCCTACTTCAGGGGAAGAGCCAGAGGAAGACTCTTCAGGCAGGACCCTTTGTTACTCGCCTTGCACGTTCCCTTCTACCCTAGATGCCAGGTAATTTGCTTCCCATTGACCAGAGCATTCGCCCTCTGAGCACCACTACTCTCACGAAGATGGGGACCGCGAAGAGACGTCGAGTAGAGGAGACTGATGAGCCAACCCTGGATTTCTTTGATGGACTTGATACCACCGTCCATTCTCCCATTCCAGACACCACCACGGAGACTTTCATGGCTGGGGGTTCTTCTTTTGTTCAGCCCGGGACGTACACAGCCTCGTCGAGTGGTGCTGATCCAACCATGCTCCAGAAGATCCTAGAGGAGATGATGAAGATGAACACGAGGATGGGTGCTATCGAGACCAGCATACAAGATGTGAAGGACATCATGGAGACTGACCATAGTGCCCATGTGAAGCAAATGAAGAGGATGAATGAACGCCTAGAGTCTCACACTCAGAAGCTCCATGAGCTTGAAATGATGCTCGGTAAGAAGTCTGCGCCTCCAGCTCCTTCATCTAGAGCCAGCCACCAGTAGCGAAGATATTTTAATTTCTGTTGATTTGAAACAATTTTATTTTGACTTGGCCTGTTTAATTTGCTACTCTAATTTATGCAAACATTTATGGTTAAAGCTTGCACTTTACTGTTTATTTCAAGTGTGAGGAGGAATGTTACCCCTGTTCTTTGACTCATCTCTTGCATCTCGACTACGAGGACGTAGTTCGACTCAAGTGTGAGGAGGTAGAGTTCGAGTATCAGGTATGATTTGTTGTCTCACTCTCGTAATTCTTGATACACACTAAGTTGTAGTCATATTTTTTTCTCGTACTCTTTCTCTTCCTTGCTATTTTCCTTTCATTTAAACTAATTAACTTATTTCTTATTTATTAAGAGATGCACAAGTGGGTTTAGTGGTTGAGAAAGTTAGGGATTAAGAACTAGTAGTTTGGATGATGGGAATTTCTCTTCTTTCAAAAAAAAAAGTTAGCTATTGAGATTGCGCTTAAGTGACGAATTGGGAATCCTATCTCCGTAAAGGAGCTCTGCTTCTCCCGTGAATCGCATAAGGTGAGGGAGCAAGTATGCAAATAAAATGGGATAAACCCACAATCTTGATAGTCTATAAGTTACGTGAGTATTCTATCTCCCATGGAGCTCTGTCCAAAGAAAATCATTGAACAGTTATAAATAATAAAAGCATAAGGACATTTATGGGATACTCACGGATTTACTTGAGAGGAAGGTAATTCCCTAAGTCCAAAAACTACTAAGTTTTTAATCCTTGGGAATTGGTTAGAGAATGAAATCTTGTGCATCTCCTAAAAAATTAAGAAACAAGTTAGTTTTTAATAAAAGGAAAATGAGTCAAGGAATTGATAAAAGTAAGAGAAAGTTATATGATTAGTAACTTGGTGTTGTTCTTGAGAGTTACGAGTTTGACAGCGAATCATGTCATTCCTTTTCTTACTTGAGTTGTTTTGCTTGAGGGCAAGCAAAGTTTAAGTGTGAGGAGATTGATAAAGTCGTTTTATATATAATTTTATCCTCACATTTAACATATTTTTTATAATTTTTCTTCTTAATAAGAAGTAATTTTTCTATTAAAAGTCATATATCTATATTTTTGAGTAGTAAAGTTGAATGGGCCAAGAAAAATAAAAATGTTTTATTTCAATAAGAAATTAGTAATATTTTCCTACTGGAATGGAATTGGAAGTTGGAGCAAGAAAGGAAGGTGTTCAGAATAAATTTGGAAGCAAAGCATGAGTTTTGGAGCCGAATGCACGACAGGCGACCAGGCAGGCGGCCGCCTACCAGG